AAAAAAAAAAAAAAAACCAAAATAAGAAAAAAGAAATTGCCTTTCTTTAGTGTAACTAAAGGTGACTATTACATCAGAAGACTTTCCACCACAAGGGACTGCAATAATTTGTAGAGGCGAAATGAGGAGCTCTGAGAGTTCAACCCTTTCCACAGAGAAAAATTTAAGCACACCCCAGTGGTTCCTCACTTGTAATTCTCTGACTCAGGCTCCAAGCAGACTCAAGTGGCCTCCTGGGCACACATGGTGATTGAAGAGAGCTTCAGTGACTTCTATGAGAGAGACTTGTTGTGTCTCTTTTTCCACTTTTGTGGAAACTCCAACACAGTGTTGGAGTTTTTACTGTGGAGTGAGAATGAACAATGCCATATTACTTTAGTCTGAAGGTGAGTGCATTCCACAGCATTTTTGAAAAAACAAACTTGTGCTCATTGAGACGTCTTTTATTTTTCAGTTTCCTTTATTCTTCAGAATCTATAGCTTATTTCCAAAAAGAATTATCTTTCTAAAAGTCTCTACATCTTCCCTCTTTCGTATAAATTGTATTTCAGTTAAACCTGCATTTGAGTATTTATTATTTTCAAGCTGAAGTTCAATATATTTGAGGTACTGTGCACATGTTTGTGTATTTGATTGGATTTTCCTACTGCACTTCCAAAGTTTGCTTGAAGATTTTTACAACTTCTTTTAAAGTGCACATGGTTGCTTTTACCATTTTAACTTAGTATCTACAGTATATTATTATTATTATTATTTACTGTGTTCAATGCTCCCACTTATTCTCTCATCCTCTCTCTCCCCCTCACCAAATCCTCTGAAAAATATCACTAAGTAAAGTTTCAGGGGAATTTCTTTTCTATATTTATGAATTGACTACAAATATTCTCCTGTTCCCTATATGAAAAAATTTAATCTTCCTTGGATTATGAACATGCCTTTTGTTTCCCTAAATTAAAGAAAGTCTCAATCATGGTCACTAACCACAATTGTGCCTGTGACACTTTTTCAGACTTTATTTACTTATTTGTTGGACACAGGGTCTAGCTATGCAGTGTAGACTCATAGTGATCTTTCTATGTCAGCCTCCCCAATGCTGGGATTACAGGTATGTGCCACCACACCCCATTTAGGAGACAGCACTGCATGTGGCATTAGGGATAATACTAGGGACCTTGTGTTTGCCAGGCATGCTGCTAGACCACTGAGCTATCTCCTCAGCCCCTGAGACTTAAATAACAGAGTTCTAATTTATCATCAGTGAAGGTTTGGTTTGCACAATGAATCAGTTTTCTAACTTCCTTATTGTAAACTGGCTTGTATTTCTATAATTGACATTAATTGTTTTGTGCATTTTTTTGTTGTTTATGGTGCTAGAAATGGAAGAAATGACTTTTCAGGCAAGCATTTTACTTCTAGTCTGTGCTCCAGCTGTCAGGTGTACATGGATGCCTTTAATTTAATTTTACTACATTGTCTTTCCTCTATAACCAAGAATGTGAAAGGCTGCAGCATTGTGTGTACTACACATTTACAGTTAAACATTCCTTTTTCTTCAGGGTCTATAATATGACAGGCACCATGCAAATCCCAGAAAACACGTATGATGTAAAATGATAACATCAGACCTAAAAACAAACAGAATTTTGCCAATGTGATAGGGCATTAGAGAAGAGCAAAGCAAGCTCCGCTGGCCCTGCCCCTGATCTTCCTCTGTCTCATGCTAGCTTCTCAGATCCCCCCTTACATCAAGCTCTCATCTGCACACTCTGTTCCCTCAGCCTGGAGCATTTCTGCCTTCTGTAATTCCTTCCATTGCCTATTACTTCCTCCCTGTCTCATCCAGAATTTTACTATTTTACACAAGCCTGTAATATTCAGTTCCCCATAGTAAGTTATTTCTCAGTGGCCTTTCCCTGTCTGACAATTTTCATGCTGTCGGCAGTAATAACATCAATCCTTCTCTAACATGGCAATTGTAAATATTTATTTTCAACACTTACATCTGTCTTTTAGTAGTTTATGTTCTTTGATATACAAACCTGGAATAATTTTCATCAGTCCCTCGAGCATATTTTAGCACTAAACTGTTACAATTTTTTATGTATTTAGTACAGAATCTACAACGTCTCACTATGCAGACTGGACTCGTAGTAGTCTTCCTGTTTTTGGCCTCCCAAGTGCTGGGATTACAGGCGGGCGCCACCAAGCCTAGGATCAATTGCCCTCTGAACGCGATTCTCACTCAAATATATGCGTGGATGAGAACACACTCTTACACAGTCTTGCATTAGACTTTAATGTTGGTGGACACTTTCCCCTTGTATCTAGCCCACATACGTATTTCTCTTTTTGTAAGAATTCACTGGACAGGCAATCCCTAAAATATGGTATCTTAAAGATCTTCATAAATCAGAAATGCTACATGATGGTCGAATGTGGTAATATGTCTGTTGTGCAGATAAGAATTAGAATGTGTTACATCATGTACCAACTCCCCAAGATGAATGCAACCAGGTATTTCAAATAGGTGGTAATAAAAATATATTAGATGAAAAAGAACCAGTATTGTTTTCTTCCTATCTATCTCAGTTTATGGAATGCATTGATTACCGAGAGCTATATGAAATAGGTTTATTTTTGTATTAAGAACATAAATTCACATTTTGAAGTGTCAATTTTTTTTCCTGGGAGTCAAAGTAGAAACATTTCATGGATCATATCATTTAATTTTTACTTAAACTTTTTAGTAAATGTAGAGGTGAAGTATTTGCTCTTCATGGAATTGAATAACATTCTCAAGGTCACACAAGATGTAGGGATGGACCAAATTGTATTCACTGGAGACTGACTTAAATACACAGTTTTAATTTTTCTTTCCCTTTCACCTCCAGTTCCTTTGTTCCTCTTCCCATTTGAACATTTTCTCCCTATTTTCCATCCATTTGGGTCATTACTTATGCTTTTGGTTTCTGACACAAGAGAAACTATGTGATGCTTAAACATATGTGTCTGATTTATTTCACTCAACAGTATAGAAAGGTGCTTAGGGGAATTGAGAAAAGGTAATTAAGATATGTTATGTGTGGGTACAAATTTCCTGCGACAAATGTGATCAACATACCTGACAAATAAGCACTAATAAAAGATAAAGTCTTAAAAAAAGGAAATAAAAATGAATACAGCTGTTCAGACAACACAATTGTTTGGAAGATTTATACATCCAAAGTAATGTATCATAGAGGATAATTTCAATCATTTTGTAATAATTACATCAATAAAAACTTTTATTGAGAAGCTACTGTATACAGGAGCACTTTTAAATCTCAAAACGAGATAGTAGTTGTTGTCATATTTTTAAGGAGAAACAAAAGGCATTGATGGTAAATTGCTACATGACTACGAAGTGCTGTTGCAGAAAAAATGGTGGTTTTGAAAATCCATGTTTAGTAGCCAGTGACAAAACCGGGAGGTTTTTGATAGGAGGTAGGTAGCACGTCTTGCAACCCCCAGCTATTTGGAAGCCTAAGGCAGGAGGACCTCAAGGTTGAGACCAGCTTGGGAAAATTAATTAAAAACTCTTTAAAAACTGACAAAATGAAAATAAGAAGAGTTGTGGAAATCATTCAGTAGTAGAGCACTTGCTTAGCAAATACAGGGCTCTGGATTCAATCTCCAGTACCACACAAAATTAAAATAAGGAAAACATGAATAAGAACAAAAATTAAAATGGAATGGGAACTTGTTGGTCAAGTGAGTCACATTTGCTGGCAGGACTGTAGAGGGCATCCATCCAAGGGAGATGTAGCACAGTGGTAACTACACAAGGTACCAGTTCCTTTTTCTTTAAACATGGCCATTTTTCTTCTACTTCACCAGTTACACAAAACACATGGAAAGAGGAAACAACTCCTGCATATCCCAGTTCCTCCTCCTGGGCCTCTCAGAAGACCCAGAACTGCAGCCCATTCTCTTTGGACTGTTCCTGTCCATGTACCTGATCACGGTGCTCGGGAACCTGCTCATCATCCTGGCTGTCACTTCTGACTCCCGCCTCCACACCCCTATGTACTTCTTCATCTGCAACCTCTCCTTTGTTGACATCTGTTTCTCCTCTACCATTGTTCCAAAGATGCTGGTGAATATTCAGGCACAGACTAAAGACATCTCTTTCTTACAGTGCTTCATTCAAGTGTATTTTTTTATGATGTTTGCTCTAATGGATCATTTTCTCCTGACTTTGATGGCCTATGACCGCTTTGTAGCCATCTGCCACCCCCTGAAATACATGATCATCATGAATCCCCAGCTCTGTGGCCTCCTGGTCTTCATGTCCTGGTTTGTCATCTTCTGGGATGCCCTACTACACCTTCTACTGATTTTGCGTCTAACTTTCACCAGAAGTACAGAAATCCCACATTTCTTTTGTAATCTGCCACCACTGCTCCAAGTGGCCAGCTCTGATACCCACATCAATGACATTGTCTTGTATGTAACAACTGCCCTGCTGGGTGTGTTTCCTGTCATGGGGATCCTCTTCTCTTACTCTCAGATTCTTTCCTCTTTAATGAAGATGACTTCTTCTGAAAGCAAGACTAAGGCATTTTCTACCTGTGGGTCTCACCTGTGTATGGTCTCCTTATACTATGGGACAAGCATTGCAGAATACCTTAGCTTTACTTTCACCCACTCTTCCCAGGCAAGCATGATCGCTTCTGTGATGTACACTGTGGTGACCCCCATGCTGAACCCTTTCATCTACAGCCTGAGGAACAAGGATGTCAAGGGGGCTCTAGGCAGACTCCTCAATAGGAAAGTCTCTTCCTTTGCAGACCACTGATTCTTTCAAAGGTGAAAAGTATAAACATAACAGTGAATTCAAGTTTCAAAGCAGGTTAGTAGGACATTTAGAATGGTTGATAGAACTTAAGGTAACTGTAAGTCAGTAAGACTAATATCTGAAAATTTCATAACCTACTTTTGTCTTCTCCCAAATCTATGTGTCATTTGTCTCTTTTTGCCCATTTATAAATGATATTTGTGTATATGATCTTGCATTCACTTCTCCTTAACAGCTTTCTCATTAATTTAAAAAATTACTTCTTCCCTTCTCATGTTTCTTAATATTTCATCTTTGATCTTTTTACTTACAGATATTTATAATATTTCTAATCTCATTTGTGAACTGCCTACCATAGTTAGTGTTGCCCTGATATTCTCAAATGTTATCTTTTTAATAATTTTAAATATTCTCATGACGGGCGAAATAGCACAGTGGCCTAAGTTCCTGCTTTGACAAGTGCAGGGACTGGGGTTCAATCCGTGGCATCACATGTCATGCCAGCCCTAGCCCTGGGGCACCCTGAGCTGATGTCCCAGTCTGGGTGTGGTGGTGCTCATCTGTAATCCCAGCCTTGGGGAGGCTGAACACAGGAGGCTTGAACTACAAGTCTGAGCTGTACCAAATGCATAAATGAAAAAAAATCTCACCGAAATGAAATGGCAAATATTTTGGTGGCATACACATGTTAATTAACCTGCTTTCATCACTAAAATGTATGGCTATCAAAATATTATATTGTTACCAATAATGACATAAAATTATTTTGTAAAAAAATGTTTTCTTCCATGTTAATATTCTTCACCTTCAATTGGATTTTGTACTTGTTTTACTTGAAACAAATGCAATGTAATTATCTCAATAGTCAGGCCATAATGCTTTTTATATTAATTTTGTACTTTTTGAGTTTAGATATGTGGCCTCATTTAATCCTGAAAGCCTCTCTGTCTGTGATGTTTTCTCTAATGCATTCCATTAAAGAAGGATTATTACCCTGCTAACTTAACTGACAGAGATTTCCCTTCAAACATTGGTCTATTGCATGTTGTCAACACAATGATTCGATTTTCATGAGAAATTCTCTTTGAAGGGAGTTTTTTCATTTAATGTATAGTGATATTTTACCAAGAGCAACTCTGATGTATTTACCGCTAGTTCGCTGGTATCTTTTATCTTTATATTCCCCATTCAATCCTTTTTTTCTCAACCTTTAAAAAAAATCTTTTTCTTCCATTATTTCTTCTAACTGCCTTCCTTTTTGCTTTCTTCTATTTTTCTTTCTTTCTACTTCATTCCTTCTTTCCTTTCCCATTTCTTATTTTCTTCTTCCATATTTTTGAACTTTTAAGCTTTCTTTTATGATTGAATATTCTACCATAACTATATACATTGTACATATTTTCATGCATTGATGTGCATTCAGATATTTCGCATATATTAGCTATTATAAATACTGATTTTATCCATATTTTATGCATGTTTTTATGCATATTTTTATGCATATTTTTTATTTGAGCAAGTATTTTCCATCTTGGAAATCTACTTAGGTGAGGAAATGCTGCTAAAATCACATGGTAAATGTATGTTAAAGTTTTTTGAGAAATCACCAGTTTTTTTTTTTTTTTTTTACAGTGGGTGCCATTTTCTGTATTCACCACATTGTGTCTGTTTATCATACCCACACTAATTATGTTCTTTTCTCCCCTTTTAAAAAACTATGTGAAATTCTCAAAAAAGTAAAAATAGAAATTCTATTTGATTCCACTATCCATCTTCTAGGTATCTTTGCAAAAGAATTAGAATCATAGTACAGGATAGATCTTTGGGGCAGCATATATGTACATAAATAGATAGATTGATAAAGATAATGATATTTATACACAATGGAATACTAATCTTCCATAAAGAAAGATAAATTTGAGTCATTCATAAGTACATTGATATAATTTGAGAGCATAAAATTAAGTGATGCCTGAATATTTCTTTTACCACAAGCTCCTTCAAGTTTATCCACATGATGCCTAATACCAGGATTTCTTTCTTTTTAAAGAAAGAAATTGCACATACATTACACTATGTAGGTGTAGTACTTTTTTAACCTGTTCATCTGCTATTGGACATTTTGTTTGTGGCGTATGTGTGACTGATCTACAGCAAGCACGGAAGATGAAAATAAGTTACACAAAGAAATGACCCAAAAGAGTATGGTGCTGACTTTGGCTGTACAGATTTCTGTCACCTAGAATTCACCTATTGCCTCTTTGTGTGTATCCTATGATCTGTTGACAAGGGAAGAGAAGACTTGGTTTGATTGTCCACAACAGAAGGTTCTGAGTGTTGTGCATTCAAAGCCTGAAAGTGTTCAGTTAAAGTACTGCACCTTTTTCCAGGACATCCCTGAAGAACGGTGGTAAAGGGAAATCTTCACAGTGGTCACAACACTGAGCAATTTGAAAAACTGCATTTGTTCATTTCGTTTAAATTCACAAGATAGGGATCAGCAAGAGGGCTCAGCAGACTAAAATGCCTGCTTAGGCAAGCTTAGATAAGTGCAGTATCCATGGTTTCATCCCTGGCACCATATGCTATGCCAGCCCTGCCCACAGAGTCCAGGTGTAGTGGTGCATGCATGTAATCCCAGCGCTGGGGAGGCTGAAAGCAGGAGGGTCACTATGAATCCGAGCTGCACAGTGAGACCCCATAACAATCAAATACATACCAAAAAAAGAAAAAAGAATGAGAAAGAAAAAGAAAAGAGAGAAAGAAAGAAAAGAAAAGAAATTCATAAGATATTCTCTAGAAAACCAATTTCTCTTGAGAAAGTTTCCCAGGATGATCCCTAAGTGATAGGCCTCTCTGGAAGAAACATTGGAGATTTTATGACAGATTTGGTTCCATGATATTATAGCACAAAACAATCCTTAAATAATAATTTTCTTCATTCTTCAAATTCATTTTTAAATGATAAATAAAAAAGTATGTGTTTCACTTGAATAATATGATGTTTAAAAGTATTATATATAGTAAAATAGTTAATAGAGATTGATATGTACATGACAACATATAATTTTAGCTTTTGTAAACTATTACATTATATAGTATTAATTTTGTAATGCTGACCAAATTTTGTATCGGCAACACTGTGATGCACATTACAAGCATAATTGAACAAATGCTCCTCCTACTCCTAAAAACCACCATATAGTTTTTAAAAACTTATGTCCAGTTTAAAAAATTTCACAATGGAATGAAGATCACACAGTATCCATTTTTCTGTGTCTAGCATATCTCATTTAATGTAATGGTCTCCCCTTTGATACACATTGTTATGAATAATAGGATACCATTTTTATTTATGCTTCAATAGCATTTCATGATGTGCCATTTTATTTATAATTATTAATGCATATTGTATTACAGATTAATATTTTGACGATATAATTTACATATATACATGCATGCATACCTACATAAATCATACTTTGATCACAACAACCCTGTTTCTTCCTCTAGCATTCTCCTCCTTGCTACTATCCCTTTCTTCTCATCTCATTGTCCCTCCTTCAATTTTCAAATCAACTTTATTAAAGCTAACATGACAACACCTAGTTCTATCCATTGTTATTCTAAGTTGATCATATTTTTTCTATTCTGTTTCATCCTGTATGTCTGAATAATATGATTTGTTTATAAATACCTTCCATTTTAACAGGTATGACAGGGTATCTAATAGAAATTTGGATTTCCATTTGCAGTTTGGTTAATTATGCTGAATAATTTTTCATATAGCTGATGTCCATTTCAATATCTTTATTTGAGAAATGTCTATTCAACTCAACTGCCCATTTCTTCAGCAGATTACATTAAAATGGGTTATTTATTTTATTTATATATTTAGGATATTAAAGAGTCATCAAGGGAAAGAAGAAAAGGTAGAAAAAATAAAGGGGAAAAAATCATTTTTCCAGAAGAACTGAAAACCTCATACCGCAGCGATATATGTGCACCCATGTTTAGAGCAGCACAATTGCTCATAGCTAAATTCTGCAGGCTGATGCCCATCAACTGAATAATGGATAAAGAAGATGTGGAGTTTTTATACAATGGAGTATTATTAAGCTATAAAACAAAATAAATTTGAGCTTTTTCATTGCCAGTCCTACAGAAAAACCACTACTATTATGGACTACTGGACTATATTGGAACATTTTGCTGAATTCACATACCTACAATATTTAAATGACAATGAAATACCCTTCTCTGACAAAACTAAACAAAAAAGAGGAATACAAATGAAGGACCATTTTCTATCTGTATATTCAAAATAGGTTAGATTTACAGCTACTTTCTCTTAAATGAATAGAAAGATTTGTTCTAATAGTGTTTGTGAACAAGCTATCATGTCTGCAGCTTGTACCATGAATAACCACTAAGAAGACAATAATATGCAATGTATTAATTATTGACGCTGTCCTACTAATCAGTTTTGAAACTGTCTCATTGCTATTTGTTTCTCAATAAAATTGTTTTAGAAAGATAGAAATTAAAAAAAATAAGTTTGATTCTTATGTTGGTAAACACATGCAACTAAACAACATACTATTACTGTGTTTAGCAGCTAATGCTGAGCTTGTCTGTCAATGAAAGGAATCTAAACTCCTTAACCCAATAAAGAAAAATGGAATCTGAAGGATACAGTAGATACTGGGAAAAGGGAATGAACTTATTCAAAAGGAAAGAATAACTGAGCTGAGGTTTGTCATAGATGACACTTAACAAATTGAGGCAAAGACCATATACTCCATTTTTCTTCAAGAATTTCCTTTCAAGAATGGGTGTTAGAGTTTATAAAATGATTTTTCTGCATCTATTGAGATGATCATGTGATTTTGTCTTTGGGTCTGAAATATGGTGTTTTGCATTTATTTGTTTGCATATATTGAACCATTCCTGCATTCCTGAGTTGAATCCCACTTGGTCATGGACTAAAATATTCTTGA